CATAAGACCTACATGAGAGAGCGTCTAGCAAGCGGAACTACCATCAAGCTCAAGTGCGGGAGTATGCCGAGTCAGCTGTCGGTAGCCGACACCTTCAAGCCAAAAATGAAACCAAAGGCACCAAGAGCAAAGCACATGACGAAGATGATTGGTAACTTCACCGGTCGCGGAATGCACCCATACACTGTCGTTGAAGAGGGAGGTTTCATCGACATGGTGGCATTTGCAATGCCAGACTACAGCGTGCCGTCGCGGATGACTTTCTCACGAGCAGTTATACCGGACCTCTACGAGTCAGAAAAAGGGAAGCGAAGAGAGCTGCAGGAAATTTTCCGCAGAGGTGCGGAGTGTTATTCCATTGCAACGGATGGCTGGATATCGCGCGCCAAAGACAGATATGTCTGTGTGACTGTTTACGTGATGGACTAAAACTTTTTACAGCATGTGTGCGCTTTGGCATGTACGGAAATTATCAATTTTCACACGGCCAATAGCCTGGTACCGTTGATTGGGAGCGTCATCGAGGAGTGGGAGCTTCCAGCATCAGGTGCCTCGCCGGTGCTACTATATTTTTGACACAAGTGAATCCGAACCACAGCAAAACTCCCCTTTGCCCAGGGTACCGTCCTAGGTCATACTGTTCTGCTGCAGCCGAGGATCCATTGTAATCATGGATGGTATTACTTGTACAAGAACCACGATGGCCAATGCTAGGTTGTGGTGCTTACCCTGTCTCCCCCTTTTTGGATGTCATCTTTTCGTGCACCGTGTATTTTTAGCTTCCAACAGATACCTCTAAAGCAGTCTTGGGTACTATCGCAATACTTGTATCATCACAATGTTTTAACTTGTCCTTTTTTTGTAACTTTCAACTGTAAAGTCGTACATTTCTTTTAAGTACCGTATTTTCCGGTCTACAAGTCGCACTGTTGTATACACCAACTCATGTTTACAAACAAACCGAAACGCCCCAAGCGGACGCCACCGGCGCCGCGCATGCGCGATGGGGGTGTGGTCAAGAAGCTCGCCGTCGCCCATAAACAAACCATTGGAATGCGACGTAGTCGGCGTCTGTGCGAGTCCCCCTGCTCTTTTTCGCGTTCGAATTGTTGATTCTACGTCTTCCTGGCAATGTCCGACTACTTGAGCGGCGTCAGCGAAATTACCGAGGCTCGTTACACCGCAAAACTTCGCGTGAATAATGTGACATGTGGCGATTGATTCTGCGTGGACGCCGCAGTATGTACGCTACAGCCTGATTCGTATGATGAGATTTCGTTCGCAATTTTCAGTCGCGACGCCGCTTAGGCCGCAAAAGCGTGAACCGTAGCTTAGATGGTCGACGTTGATACTGAAAATCGCAAGCTGAATCGGACCAAGTGAAGTAGGCATAACAACTTGGTGATGGTCACTGGTAACAATAATCAACATCTCCTTGTATCTACTGTTTACATCGAGCCTGCTTACCAACCTTCAAACTTTAGTCTTCCGAGGCCTGAGCTTACTTCTTACCGCAAGTACTGCACCAACATTTGGTCTACGGGCCGGCGTCGTCTAAGAGAGTAGACGACAAGCAGAAACGTTTGAAAGAGAAGACGACAGTTCGAACGATCCGGCCGCCGTTTGAAATTGAAGACGCACTGAACGTAGCCTGCACGTGGTTCGCACAACTCTACAGTTTTCTGGCGTTCATGTTGGAACAAAACAAATAAATCTCATGACCACAAGTATCCGTGAATTCAATCCAAAGTGCTTCCCGCCCAAGCAATCGTAGTCCGACGACGTCTGCTTTTCCCTTTTCACGGCACATATCCAGATTCTCGGACGAACCGAGCACATGAAAACTGACCTTCAAACCTTTCTCGACACTTTTGGTACGGCCCCAGTCGCGGCGTTTTGACAAGAAGGCAGGTTTTTGTCTGGTTCCTTTCAAAACAACGCAAGAATACACGTCTGGCATGGGGACTTCTGCCCACAGCCCCAGACAGGAAGTGCGACCGACACGCCACCACCGCGCCGTGACGTCACAGAGATGAGTTTGTGTATAAGTCGCACTTCCGTATATCGAGCCATTTTTACAAAAAAGTTTATATATCAGTCGCACCTTTGTATAAGTCGCACCTCTTTGCATGGTTTACGCTTTTCTTTTTACGCTGATCGGTACCGCGAGACCGGAATTTCTCATTGGTAATCAGCTGGTTCATACGTACTGTACCGTTTGACGCCTGATGATGTTTAGATTAGCGAGAAATGCCTAGAGCACGGCACTCTCTGGCAGGGGCAGTCAGGATATTCGGAACTGAAGGACGCAAAATGAGCTGGCCAGCTTTACTCAAGCGTACGCATGCTGAGCAAACGAAAGTTTAACGTGCCAGAAACCTGTCAACAGTGGCTAGGCTTAGTGGGCGGCCCACTAAGCCTAGCCAGGGAGACAATACGAACGTATTACCTTGAAGTGTTATTGGAGTGAGGCAAGATATGGAACCATGACTGAATTAGGCTACGTCAACAAAACTTTTATTATCACTGCCACACTTCCAGTCAATAAAGCCATTGAATTCCTTGCTTTCCGAGTCACTTTGGAAGAGTGCGGCGATCACTGGATCTAACGCGATGGGCTCTTCGTCGTCGTCAGGCCCGCTGCTGTAGTCGCTTTCAGCGGCACCTCTCAGGTACAGATTCAATGAGACCGGCTTTTCTGAAACCGGTGGCTATAGTCCCTATGGAGACGGAGTTCCAGGCTTCACTGACCCACTCGGCCACCTCGCCCAATGACGCGTGCCTCATGCACCCAGTTTTCGTGAAACTTTGGTCACCTGCTTGTCATCCAGGTTTCCCACAAACGCCGCAGGACAGCTTTGAAGCTGCAGTTCACGGAAATGTTTAGTGGCTGCAGCATCTTCGTCATGCCGCCAGGAATTATGACCGGGATGCAGTTCTTCGCTTTGATGTTGGTCTTGACCAAATCGGTCATGTGCGCCCTCATGCTGTCCATAACTAGAAGGCCCTCATTCGTGTGAAAGAATCCGTCCGGTCGCCGTGGGGAGCATTTCTCCAGCCAGAGCCCCATCATTTGTCCATCCAGCCTTTCACGTTACATTGGATGACGACTCCGGGCGGAAAACTGTCTTTAGGCATAGTCTTTTTCTTAAAAATAATCATGGGCGGCAATTTGGTGCCATCAGCGCAGAAGCCAACACGACGGTAAAATCCGATTTCTCGCGGCCGATTGTTCTTACACTGACAGTCTTTTCGCTCTTCTTGGCCACGGTCCTGCCCATCAGGATATCAAAAGTCAGAGGGACTTCGTCCATGTTGACAATTTGGTTAGGCCTAACATCATGGGTTTGAATTTGTTCCCTGACGAATGCCTGGAAACTCGCCGTCTTTTCCTTGAAATCATCTGGAGGTTTCTGGCAGACTGTTGTGCGGGCTCTGATAGCTAGCTGGTGCCGTCTCATGAAGCGGAAGCACCAAGACGGCCCTCCGACAAAGTCAACCACGTTCATATCTTTTGGCAATGTTTGTGCCTTCAGCCGTAGCAGTGTATGACCACGTGGAAAAGAATTTATCTCAAACACTTATCTGTGCCATGGTATTGTAATTTATCCTGAGGGTGCAGCCAAATTTTGGATTGCTTTTGCAACAATATTGGGGAAAATATTTATTTATTGAAAGATTGACAGACGAAGACTAATATTTGTCGGGACCCAGATTATGTTTCTTCACGTCTTCCCGGTGTTTTGATAGTTGTTTCAAACAAAAATGAGAAGGAAGGAAGGCAAGATAATCATTGCGTCGACTTTATTGCTCTTTTTGTTCATTCAGTTTTGTTCAGCCCACGAGAAAGTTTTGCCTCGGTTGTATGGAAAAGGCTGAACTCCATTTGTGTCCGCAGAGAAACATCGCCATTTTTAACTGTAACTTTTGATTGAGCCAAGCATTTTTTCCAAAATTTCACAAAACAAAATGATAAATTACAGTACCCTAGCCGCCCAAAACAATTTTTATTATTCTTGTTATATAGATTTGTTTTAATTGACCCACAAAGTATACATAGCATCTCACAAATAGCAGATGTTAGATCCGTATTAAATGTCTGTACTTGAATCACTGCTAAGCTGACGGGGCAGTGAAAGCTACGTACTCTGTCTCTAGATCAGTCAGTTACCTGCCGCTCAGTGCCTGATGCATTCTATGCCCGTACCTACCCGGAGAGTATGACCACGTTGTATGCGTGCAACCTTTCATTCATTGTTCCTACGAGCATGTAGCTTCTACCGCCCTGTCAGCCTAGCAGTGAACGTACTACTCATTTGCTTGAGAGCTTGACCATTCATTTTTAAGGTTGGGACTCAATTTGTTGTGCAGGTGCTTTGGACGTGCATTTTGAGCATGCTGTTTGTTGCCCACGAAGCCTTACTATTGCCTATAGAATTTTTGTCATCTCTTTCACATTTCGGCACGAGTATATCATGTCCGTATATCATATTCCTCTCAAGACGACATCTGAAAGGCAAAGTGGAAGTACCTGAGGGATAACTATGCCAAGGAGGTGGCCAAGGTGGCAGGAACAGAGCCCAGTATCGGTGGAACCTCAGACGTCTACAAGTTTAAGGGGATCTGCTTTGGCAGCTTGAGCTTCCTGACTGGCACCTCCACTGTTCCGCAAAGTTATACTTTTCATATTTCCCATTGGTTACCGTATATCGCATCGTCATGCAGTTTACTTAGTATGCAGCTACAAGGTTTTTTCTGTCAATTACGCAAGTCAGAGGCTGCAGGAACGTAAGCAAAGCTAGTCCAGCACTCAAATTGGAGGTAAGATAGCATAGAATGTATTTTAACGTCTCCTCATCAGTATGTTAGTGTGTTTATAGTCACGTTTCCATGTGCCAATCACAAGTGATCATGTGCGATGAAACTCTTCTAATGAATTCTATGAGTGCCTCCATCATGCAGCCAGGCATCTGGATATACCACAGGTGCCACCAAGCCAACTGATGACCAAGATCCTCTGGTGACTATTTGCCCGTCTTTACTTTCTTTTTGGTCTTTCAGAATGAGCATAGACTGTAACTTACAAAAGCTATTTGTTTTCGTTTTTTGCGTGTGTTCCTCTATGCAGTGCTTCCACCTAGTGGCACTTCCTTTGACTTTACAGCTGCTTCATTTCATAATGCCGACAGCACCACCCTGCCCCTCCTCTCCCCTCCCCCCTTGATGCATTTTTAATGACCCTTATCTCTTCAATACTGAGCACACTGCCTAACCACCTAGATGAGGGGTCATCTCGTGGCACAGTGTAAACCCTCTGCCCAAGTGCAGTCGCTGGGCCGAACAGAAGATTTTTTTTGGTCTGTGTATTTTGTACAAGGAAAGCCATTGTAGCTTTCCGATTTTAATTTGGTTTGACATTAGTGGTTGATATTTCACTTCAAACTTGAACCTGGTATCCTCGCGGATGAAAAAGCTTTAAAGCTTTATCTCAACTATTCCGACAGCGCAGTATACTTCATTTCAGCATAACCTTGAAAAAGGTTAGAGCTGCATCCCTCACAAGGCAGTCGGAGCAACTGAGTGAGGTATGTGACAGCCCTTTGCAAGAGGATTGCAACCTCGAACAGTATACTTTTGCATGTCTCGCTCCTACAGTCATTAGCTGGCCAGGCCATTCATTTAACTGTTTTGCAAAGTTATGTTGAAACGGATTGTAGCGAGTCAAATCACTCAATTTTCTTGTTGCAAAGACACCGCTAACAAAAACTCTTTAAACTCACAGTATTATGTGATTTGAGGAAGGAGGACTCGTACATCTGTATTTTTCAGAAATAAGATCAGACAGACTTCTGGCAAGTTCAAGATTTTTATTCAGCGGAGCTTGCTCATCTTTAAGTAGATTATGAGATGGAGGACTCGTTCGCAGTGTTTTTTCATGAGGAGTAAGAGGACTCATTCAGTTAATTTTAGGGGTGTGCGAATACCGAATAGTAGTTTTCGAATCGAATACCGAATCGAATCAAGAAAAAAAAGCCGAATATCGAATCGAATATCGAATACTGATTTTATTTGTAGGAATTTTTCAAAGTGTGCTGCGAATGAGATTATTATATGGGCAGAGTATGCACCTGTTGCAGAATATGCATCTTGTGCAGAACAAAAGCTAAAATGTAAAAAAAATTCTGGTGAAAAAAAAAAAAAATAATAAAAGCAGTTGCTGTTGGATGTTTGGCACTAAAGATCCAATTTTATGGCACAAATATAATCTATCTTCCCTAAACGTCACACAAAAACCAAAGTTACAGCCACGCATGTCTTTTTTAAGCCGAACCTAACACCGCGACTTTTTTTTAGAAATGTTTGCATATCTCAGAAAAGGGGTATTTTGCGATATTTGGTTTTCATTATAAGGAAGAAAAAGGGCACCCGGGATTTTATTTCACGTAAATAAACAGATAGGTGTTAAATCTTAGTAAACAGGCTTAAACAATATAATCTGAAGTAAGAAAAAAAAAAGCGTGGTTAGGTGGCGCAAGACACCGTTCAACTGCCGCTATGCATCTATTTTTCCGTCTATCTATCCTGTTTTAGAGAGCCTTGATTTAAAAGAGGGAGCAAGCGAAACTGAAACCACGGAGATGGCTCCAGTGCAGATTGGTCGTAAGTGCGCATGTGTTGTGTTGTCGCGAGGAAAAGGGCGAGCAAACAGAAGGGTGACGACGCCTGCTCTCCCTGCCCTGCCTGCCCGATCCCGATCGACGCTTTCGTTTTTTCGTCACCTTCTCGCAGTTCGTAATTCAAACGCGGCTATCGAACGGTTCGAAACCCTCTCAAATCTAGGCACACTATTTTCCCGTTCCGTTCCGTTCCGAATCAGAATTTGCGGCTTGAGGTTCCAAAAGAACGACGACGATAACTCGGCTGGTTTTATCGGCGTGTTTAACGTGGCTTTCGCTCTGTGATCGTGCAGTCGCCGATTTCTGTGAGCGCGGCAGGTGTGTTTTACATCGGTGTTTCAATTTGAAACGAAGGGCTTAACTCGTGAAAAGAATTAGGCATGGCAACAATTCCTCTCTGGAAGTGGCGCAAACGGGATGTTTCGGTTGTGATTCAAGGGTAGATTGCTTTACGATTATGAGTAAATCTGCATGCTATAAAGATTGTGGCGTTCGTTACTTTTCTTTTTTCTAACCTGTGTGTTAGATTTTTGTGGAATGGTAGGACCAAGAGCTGTTTTTCACATGGTTTGTCTAACATCACGGCGCTTACATCGGGGGGGAAAACGGCTTTTTTTGTCAGCTTCGCGGCGATTGCGCGTCTTTGCCCGAATATATTGAATATTCGAGTGACCGAATACTAGGAATTCGATTCGCGAATCGAATTATTCTGGAACTTTCTATTCGATTCGAATTCGTATATTCGAGTATTCGCACACCCCTAGTTAATTTTTACATTGGCTTCCCATGTTGGCGTTTTCGAACCTAAAGAGTACACTGATGCTCGCAGTGTAAACGGATGTTTTTGAGGATAAAGCAGACATATTCACATATGCTTTTGCAAATGACGGATCAAAGAGCTCTACACCTCTGCGTGGCTTTTAATTAGTACATTCAACTTTCCTGTTTGCATCTTGGCAAAACAAATTGACAACTAATATGTGTATTGAGAAGGTGCTCAAGTGTTATGTAGGCTAGATTTTAGAAATCAGTGCAGTGCTAAACAATTTAAGCCTAAATAACCTTTTCTTCACAACTGCAGATAATTTTAAGTGTGCATCAGCATATCCCAAAGACACACACACACACTTGTTCCCCATCTGGCCCGACCCCACATTAACTTCGCGTCTCCTCGGCCAGCTGCTTCAAAGGGTTGCTGATCTAGAGTGCTTGGCTTTTATTGACAGTGGCAAATGCGTTTCCAGGACCCACCTTCGCCCTTCCAGGACTCAGCTGTTTCCTTGGCTGCACAGCGTGGACTAGAGACAGAGAGTACACATTCACCAAGCCCAACCCCTGCAGATATGAAGGAAGTGACCGAGTTGCCTGCTGCGCCTCAACCTGCTGGTGTTCAGCCAGTAAAGCGAAAGACGTCCATGGATAGTGGAAACACACCAATAGAGCAGGTCCTGAGGGCAGCCGCTGCTAACCCGAGGTTCTCAGACTGCCCTCCAGAGCACACGGACAAGATAGCAGAGTCCCCGGCACAGAACCGTTCGTTCATGCAGCGAATGGTTGTTGACAGGCGCCGGCATTTCATCCGTCAGATAAGGGGCCTAGCACATGATGAGCTAGTAGTTGGCTGCACAGCATGGATCAGAGAGTACACATCCACCAAGCCCGACCCCTGCAGATGTGAAGGAAGTGACCCAGCCCCCTGCTGCTCCCCGACATGTGCCTCGGCCTGCTGGTGTTCGGCCAGTAAAGTGAAAGAGGTCCATGGATGGTGGAAACACACCAGTGGAGCAGGTCCTGAGAGCAGCCGCTGCTAACCCGAGGTTCTCAGACTGCCCTCCAGAGCACACGGACAAGATAGCAGAGTCCCTGGCACACAACCGTTCGTTCATGCAGCGAATGGTTGTTGACAGGCGCCGGCATTTCATCCGTCAGATAAGGGGCCTAGCACATGATGAGCTAGTAGTTGGCTGCACAGCATGGATCAGAGAGCACACATCCACCAAGCCCAACCCCTGCAGATGTGAAGGAAGTGACCCAACCCCCTGCTGCTCCCAGACATGTGCCTCGGCCTGCTGGTATTCGGCCAGTAAAGTGAAAGAGGTCCATGGATGCTGGAAACACACCAGTGGAGCAGGTCCTGAGAGCAGCCACTGCTAACCCGGGGTTCTCAGACTGCCCTCCAGAGCACACGGACAAGATAGCAGAGTCCCTGGCACACAACCGTTCGTTCATGCAGCGAATGGTTGTTGACAGGCGCCGGCATTTCATCCGTCAGATAAGGGGCCTAGCACATGATGAGCTAGTAGTTGGCTGCACAGCATGGATCAGAAAGTACACATCCACCAAGCCCAACCCCTGCAGATGTGAAGGAAGTGACCCAACCCCCTGCTGCTCCCCGACATGTGCCTCGGCCTGCTGGTGTTCGGCCAGTAAAGTGAAAGAGGTCCATGGATGGTGGAAACACACCAGTGGAGCAGGTCCTGAGAGCAGCCGCTGCTAACCCGAGGTTCTCAGACTGCCCTCCAGAGCACACGGACAAGATACCAGAGTCCCTGGCACACAACCGTTCGTTCATGCAGCGAATGGTTGTTGACAGGCGCCGGCATTTCATCCGTCAGATAAGGGGCCTAGCACATGATAAGCTAGTAGTTGGCTGCACAGCATGGATCAGAGAGTACACATCCACCAAGCCCAACCCCTGCAGATGTGAAGGAAGTGACCCAGCCCCCTGCTGCTCCCCGACATGTGCCTCGGCCTGCTGGTGTTCGGCCAGTAAAGTGAAAGAGGTCCATGGATGGTGGAAACACACCAGTGGAGCAGGTCCTGAGAGCAGCCGCTGCTAACCCGAGGTTCTCAGACTGCCCTCCAGAGCACACGGACAAGATAGCAGAGTCCCTGGCACACAACCGTTCGTTCATGCAGCGAATGGTTGTTGACAGGCGCCGGCCTTTCATCCGTCAGATAAGGGACCTAGCACATGATGAGCTAGTAGTTGGCTGCACAGCATGGATCAGAGAGTACACATCCACCAAGCCCAACCCCTGCAGATGTGAAGGAAGTGACCGAGCCCCCTGCTGCTCCCCGACATGTGCCTCGGCCTGCTGGTGTTCGGCCAGTAAAGTGAAAGAGGTCCATGGACGGTGGAAACACACCAGTGGAGCAGGTCCTGAGAGCAGCCACTGCTAACCCGAGGTTTTCAGACTGCCATCCAGAGCACATGGACAAGATAGCAGAGTCCGTGGCACAAATTTGTTTGTTCATACAGCAAATGGTTGTTCACAGGCGCCGGCCTTTCATCCGTCAGATAAGGGACCTAGCACATGATGAGCCAGTAGTTGGCTGCACAGCATGGACCAGAGAGTACACATCCACCAAGCCCAACCCCTGCAGATGAGAAGGAAGTGACCGAGCCCCCTGCTGCTCCCCAACATGTGCCTCGGCCTGCTGGTGTCCGGCCAGTAAAGTGAAAGAGGTCCATGGATGGTGGAAACACACCAGTGGAGCAGGTCCTGAGAGCAGCCACTGCTAACCCGAGGTTTTCAGACTGCCATCCAGAGCACACGGACAATTAAGATAGCAGAGTCCGTGGCACAAATTTGTTAGTTCATGCAGCAAATGGTTGTTCACAGGTGCCGGCCTTTCATCCGTCAGATAAGGGACCTAGCACATGATGAGCTAGTAGTTGGCTGCACAGCATGGACCAGAGAGTACACATCCACCAAGCCCAACCCCTGCAGATGTGAAGGAAGTGACCCAGCCCCCTGCTACGGGGGGCTAAAAAAAAAACGCCACCTTCGATTTTTTAAAAATTTGGGTACCCTGTTATACTCTATTTCGGCATTCATTTCTATTAAAAACATGTCGCATCATTTCACTGTGAAAGAAGAAACAACTCCCCAAAGTAGGGTCCTTTTTCAAAGCCTACACTTAGCAGTGTCCTATACAAGAAGTGACTCTGAGTTCCAGTTTCATGAAACTTGCACAAATCTTTTATATACATTTATTCAGATGATTTCATTGATAAAAAGAGCGATCGGTCACACAGTAAAAGGGAGGAGAAACTATATACAGCATTTTACATAAGCGTACAAAGTGGTATCATATTAGAGACTAATGATTTGAGAAAAGATGATGCAGTGTGAAGTTGTACCTTCCGGTATATTTTACATCTAGAGTAAAATAAATAACTTTACTTCCACACACAAAAACAAAGATATAATAGTAAGATATTTAGGTTGGCTGTGTATTTACGATTACAAACAATTTCAGGTGACGGATGCCATAGTGCCTAACTGGAGCAGCTTCGATGCTCTCGGTGTATGAATGAATCGTGGCAAGCCGATATATTTTATCCTGCTGGAGGATAACATTTTGGGATTTTTTTTATAGTGATCTTTAAAAATTATTAGTAACCACCAACAAAAACAGTAGGTTAAATACCCCGTGAAGAAAAATGTGATAAATAAGATGTCCCTGCATTCAAAATGAGCAGTCCTTGGGAAATCAAATTCGGCACTTTACGCTAAGGTTTTCCTCGCTGTACCCATTTAATAAAGTTGCTTCCAAGCAGATCCGACTGTCCGTGCTACATATACGTCACAGGTCCCATCTGTTGATGACTTGCTGAGCCGCCACGCGTGCCAAGACTGAATGCCAGGGAAGGCGCGCACCGTCAGCCACTCTTCTTTTTTTTGTTCACGATACCGAACAACCTCATTTTCGTCCAGATATACAAGATGCACGCCTTTCAGTTTCTTTGATAGAACGCTCACCATTGTCCTGGCCGTCTGAATTGCGCTTACTGAACGTTCTCTCAGGTTGTTCAGCGTGGCCTGGTGCTTCACGAGTCCGCCAACTCCGTCACATGCATTTTTCCCATGTCCAGATGCAGAAAATAACCACTGGGCTTGTGGGCAATCGTCCTTTGCAAATTGGTGAAGCTGGTAGCGATTCTTGAAATGACTGGCGGCGCCGTCACTTACGTACGTCACGTACGAGTATACCGCAACGTTGTCTTCAACCCACTCCTTCACTTTTTCTAGAGCCAAGCAAGCGTGAGCGGCGTCGTGACACAGGTCCTCACTGATGATGGCAAAGCTGTTTGTAGATTTTCTTGTCGTCACTACACATGTAAATATCGAAACTTGTTTTTTTTCCAGTGATATGCTTGCACTTCGTCAAGAAGCACGATGGTCCAGTTTTCAGCAAAGTCAAAATGAAAGACAATGCTCCCGCGTTGCATGCACTGTTTTTCATCGTAGATCGCTTTACCTTGCGTTTGCCGGATATTGTTGTGAAGTACCCAACTTCCAACCGTCACTTGGATGACTTTTAGGAAAGTCTCAGGTTCCAAAGTTTTTTTCACAAGGTCGCCGGACTCCCATGTTGCAAGCACAATCTCTTCATCCTCCGGGATATCAAGTTCCTGGAGTGTAAGAAACTGGCCTTTTGGGCAGTGATCACAGTCTCCTTGAAGGCACAGTTCTGTTGCTGGGTCGCACAGAAATGCCGAGTTCATTTCACCAGTGTTGAATGTTGAGCGTGTAACGTTCTCTAGAGCGGCAATACAAAGATAATAATTGGCGCAGCGCACACAAGCGCACACTTCCTGGTGTGGAATACATTGGACCCATCTAGGGCGCAACGAATAAAATTTCGTTAGCCCAACGCCGGAATCGGGATGCTTGTCTTTGTATATACGGAAGGCCTCTCGTATTGAGCGTGTCATGAAGCGCTTTGGCACGAACGTTTTCTCTCCGTTGAGCATGACAGAGATGACGTCCTTCTGGTTGGGACTTTGGCGCGAACATTGTAGCTCGTCTTTCGTGAAGTACTCTAGGGCAGCAGACAGGTTCTCAGGGCTCACCTTGCACCTCGTGTAAGGATCCGGCTCATACCACACGCCATGCTTTTCCTCGAGTTTTCGGGATTTACTGATGAGGTACATTGAGGCCTGTGGAATCATCTTTTGAACCTCATTCTTCGTCAGTGTTGACGGCAGGAGTGTAAGCAGTTGACAACGTTCCCGGAGAGAGGTGGCGGTTTCAAAGGCCTGCCGAAAGTTGTCCACCCACTCAGTGCATGTGGAGCATGTTGGTTCGGACGACCCCGATGGTGCGTCCCTGTCGTACGCAATACGTAGCCTTGAGCGTATATTCTTGACAGCAACCTGCTCCAGTTCTGTCTGCTTTCTCTTGACATAGGCAGGCCTGTCCAGACTTCTTACGACGCTTGGTTGTCTCAGCGGCGACACATCTGTAGGTAGTATGCTGCGATTTAGATCTTCAATTGCTTCTTCAACTGGCGCAAATATGTCAGGGCACTGCTCTGAGCTTCGCATCGAGATCTCCTTAGTGATGTGCATGAAGCAATGGTAGCACAGGTAGTCCGTCGCACTCACTTTGGTGGAACAGTCAGGCGGAAGAATTTGCTTCAACGAGTTTAGGTCCAACTCGCCAACACTTCGAAAATTCCGCTGCTTTGGTATAGTCTTTTTGTGTTTGCAAAAGTAATCTGCACAAAACACTCGTTCGGAGCTCCAGGACGTCTTCATAAT